AGTGAGAAAGCTCATGGATCAAGATGAGGACAGATGCAGATCCCTTAGAAACTGCTGTTATGGGCCAAGCAGATTTAGCTTGGGGAAAATAAACTATTCATTGTGATTTAAAAATAAATATTTTATTACTGATTTGTTACGGGGAAACAAAAAGATAAACACTAAAACCACAGCTTGCTTCCTGCCTTTCCCAGACTCAACTTGACTCCTTCATTCCTGTGTCCTTACTTACCTTCTTATGACTGCTGGTCACACTTAGCCTGTTCAACAAGGCAATGAGTTGAGTAAGAGGATGGGAAGATGGTGGGTCCATGGCCAGCCTAGCAGTTTCTCTCTGCTGCTCCTTTCTTCTCACACCTTTCTTCTGCCCCAGCATGGGGCTGCCCCTCCTCTGACCTTGGCGTTCCCTCTGCTGTTCTTGTTCCCTTCTCCTCCCTCTCTGCTGTTTTCTGCTGTTTCTTAAATAAGCTTTCCCTGAGGTGCCACCGGAGAGAGCCTCAGCTGTGCCCTGTGGTGGGTTCTCTTGCAGCCAGCTGTTCCTGGCATGGGACAGTCCCAGACTCTTCACAGAGGCCCCCATGCAGCCCCTGCTGCCAGCAGTGGGCACTTGCACCCTGCACAGAGCTGTGTTGCACTTTCTGTAGATTAATAGACTTTCAGGCCAAAAGGCATCTTTGAATCATCTGCAGTGATCTCTTATATATCATAAGCTCTGATCTCTTATATATCATAAGCTATTAAATTTCACCCAAGACTGAGTCTAGTAATTTTTTTCTGACAAGTAATGCCACCAATCTCCAGAAAGCTGCATCTCTGGATTTGAAGACATCCAGGCACACACAGTTCTTCTACTGATTAACCATTTTTGGTGAAGGATGTGAGTGTGGGCATTTTTCTTGACTTTTCAAATGTTTATTTTTTAAATTTTGTCAACCTCTCGATTGACTGTATTCTCTGCAATTCTCAACTTCAGTGAGGTACACTTCATGTTACTAAAGGTGAAGGAGTGTGGTTTTGGGTTGTAAGATAACACACTGTCTTTTAAAAGGAGTAATGATGAGCAGTACGCAGCACTGTATAGTCAAGATTTGAACATGGTTTTTGGTTGCTTCTATTATACAAATAATAAAAACTTTTTAAAAAATCATAATTGGAATAATTGGAAAATTACTGTTTCTTGAGTTTAGTTCTTACCTTTTGTTGTAATGGCAGGGGTGTTTAGGGGGCAGGGTCACCTAATCCAAACAGGATAAAGGTTGTAAAATTGCTTTCTATTTTCTGCAAACTCCCTCTCCATCCACTTCACACCTCCAGCCTTTTCATTGACTGATAGACCTATTTTAAGGACCTGTGCATACATATATTCAGTGTTCCATCCAAAGAGAATATTTGTTACAGGATTCATTATGATCAGCCGTTATTGTCATTATGTTTTTGTTAATTTCAAATATATCACAAGAACATAAAATCAGGTTATGAGCAAACCTCAATTTCTTGTTTTTCGTGTTGGCCTTATGCTTCCCATGTTGGCCTTCTACTACCAGTTGGCCTTCATTTAGTACTGGCACATTCAAAGACAGTTCTTCATCTTCCAGGAAACTTCCTTCAAAGTTAATTTTATCTCCCATCTGTCTTGTCTTCTAATTTTGTTTTGCCATGTTTCTGTAGGGAGGCCTCATCACAAAAAAGCAAACTTCACATTCTTCTTGCCTTTGAGCTGTTTCAGTATCTGAGTGAAACTGATTGATAAACCAGCAGGCCAGCTGCTGAACTTTATAGATGAATAGGATAAGGAAATTGGAAATGCTCACATTTTTAGCTTGTCACTTGTCCATGATAGAGGAGAAAACCAAAATCTAAAAATGTTATTTACAATTCTCTATGGTATAGTTACAGTTGGCTTCTTAGATCCCTGTACTGTTAGTAAGGTTGCAGATCATGGGAAACACAAAGGAAAGCAGAAATAATATTTTCTGTCCCCAGGGCTCTACAAACCAATGATACAGCATTGCTGAAATTCTGTCCTTAAAATTCCATTGATGCAGTGAGGGAATGAAGATAATATAAACTAGCATCCTAGCAGATTATCACAGGCCACTACATTGATTCTCACTGCAATAGTGAATGTTTCCAGGAGTCTACAGTATTGTCAAAGTACTTCAGTAGCTTGTAATTTTCTTACAGCAATCAGATTCCTAGCTTTGAAAGCTGTTATTTGGTAGTAAAGGTTGCTGTGATAAACATATCATTTAAAATTAATTATTTACCATCTGTTATCTCCTCTTGGTTGAAAGTATAGAAAACCCCATGAGAGAAATATATTAATAGGTATCAGTGAATTACTTGCGTATACTTTAAACTTGTAGTTGCACAATATATTCACCTGTTTCAGACATAAATAGAAGTTGAACTTTGCTTGCTACACTGAACACATCCAGACAAATTCTCTGTCATAATTTTTCCTCTTGGCAAGGAAGATCTCACTGCAAATAGGCAATTTACTGTTTTCTAATGTATATAGCAGGCAGCACTTCTATTCCCAACCACTTGTGCCTGTCCGCTAGCTGTCATTCACCACTGGAATAGATTTTTGTTCTCTGCTATGCAGCTGGGCTGAGTAGGAAGTCTGGAGTGTGAAAATTAGAACTGCTTAGGAGAATGAAGAGTGTATGGCCCACTGCATGTCAGTGGAATCATGCCCAGAAATTACTTAGACTATTTTGAACATTGCTCCCTGGGTTTTATTTGGAACTAATTCACCTGTGACTTTTGAGAGTTTCTTCATAAGATTAGAGAAACGTGCAATTCCCCTTGAGAGAATCTCAAACTAAGTATCTCTCTCCTTTTCAAATAGATCTCTTAGTCACCCTACAATTTCAGCACTCCTGGGTAAAGCATTAAAGCTTGTCCTGTAGAGCCTATATAGTTGCCTGCTTGCAGTTTGGTTAGTGAAGTTCAAGGAAGTTGTTTCTGTTTGAGTGCTGTGGAGTGCAAACTTGGAGGAGTTTTAAGCCTGAATTTTTAACAGCTGAGTATTAGAAACAGGTTGGTCTGAGGCCATAGTGGTTAATTTTTATTATTGGTTTTTTTTTTAACTATGAGGATCTCACGATATAATCAGAGTTATATTCATTCTTAACCTGTGAGTTTTAGTTCTAGCTGAAATATGGGATGCTTCCCAGGTGGAAGTCATGTTCTTAAAGTTTAACTGTTACCTTATTTTAAAGACTTCAGAAGTCAGTAAAGTTTTGTCTGCAAGAGAATTCTCAGTGACGCTACTAGAAATGTGGATGACTGATGGATGTCAAAGATTAGGACCTAGTTTGAAAGAAAATTCCTTTCTTACACTCTAGAGCAAATCTAGCTCAAAAACATTGCAAATGAACCTCAAGAAAGCAAATTGGAAATTGCAGAATATTAAACAAAAAGCAAAGTGTGTAGAGAAAGCAGGCTGAGGAAACTTGCTTAGAAGATTCACAAAAGTTCGGAACGTGGATGTTTTAAAGTCCTGTGTTGTTACAGGATGCTCTGTCTTTTGAGCTGCCTGACTTGTCTTTATTTTCTGTTTTTGAATTGTTTTGTAATAAAATAGATGCCTTTGTTTTGTTTTGAAATGCTGTTAGGGGATGTATATCTGTCTCATGTAGCCTTGCTGAGGAGCTGCCTGCCATATGTGCTGTGCCAGAAAAAAAAATGTATTGAACTTTGGAAGAAATAAAAGGCCTGTTACAATCTGCAGTTGCAATGCTCTGGAAAGAATCGTAGGTTTAATTCCTTCCTTGCCTGGAGAAACAGGGATGCAGTGGTGATAGCCTTCTCTCCATTATTATACTCCCTTCAATATGAATTGGAAGACATGGTAGCTTGGTAATGCTATAGCCATACTGTTACATTTGGATTTTTCTGGTTTTGTGGCAGCAGCAGACTAAAACTGAATTCATACCTGGTTTATGTTAACTTTGAGCTTCCACTGTACAAAAGTATTATGAACTTGCTTTAGATCACACCATTTAATACAAAATGGTGTCTTGTTCATAGTGAAAAGTATTGTATGTATTTTGATTATATTGACAAATTACAC